TGCCCATCGGTCGTTGAAGGTATCGGCATTTTCGGATTCCCTTCCTACTCCAGTGGTCGAGGGGCTTTCCCTTTTTCCTTCCTTCGTAGGGGGCGGGTGGAACCCAATCTGCTTTCAGCGCCTTCCTGCTTCATGCTTCTATCTATAGTTCTTCCGACCGATGGGTAATGATACGTGCCAGGATTTCCAAGGCTTCCAGGATTTCCAGTATCACAGTGGCCTTCGGCCTGTGCCGCCGATCTGGGACGCTCCTAGCGGATTTGCAGACGTGGTAAAAGCATCCTGGCGGTCCTTGGGGTCATGTTGAGCTGTCATCGGGTGTTTGTTTTTTGGGGGAAGCTGAGCTGGTGCTTTGTGGACATTATGGAAGACGCCTGCGGCAAATCACCGCCGCCCCCTTCCCCTTGGGAAGCGCCTAATTATGTGGCCGACAGCTGGGCTAGAGCTTGGCCAAGCTATCGGGCCAGTTGTTCCCCGAGTCGGTTTGGAAAGTTTTCGGGGAACGCGTGGGGGAGAAACAGTAGGAGGATCCTGAGAGGGAGGAGGATGATGATTAGGTGGAGGATGAGGAAGAGGATGAGGATGATAGGGAAGGAGGAGGAGGAGGAGGAGGAGGAGGAGACTTCTTGGGAACCGTCTTGCGAGGCCTCTTGGGAGGCCTCTGCGGAGCTTCCTGGGGGCCTCTTGGAGGCCTCTTGGGAGCCTCCCTGGGCCTCTGGGGCTTTTTGGGGGCCTTTGGGGGCTTCCTGGGGGCCTCTTTGGCAGTCTTAGGCCATCTTAGCCGTCTTGGAGGCCATCTTGGCCGTCTCGGAGGCCATCTTGGGGCCCTCTTGAGGCCGTCGTGGGGGGCTTTTGGGCCCTCATGGGGCCATCTTGGAGGCCTCGTGGGCGATCTTGGGGCGATCTTGAGGGCCTTTGGGGCCGTCTTGATCCGTCGGAGTGCCGAGCCAATGCTTAAATCCTGCACAAACCTTAGGAACATCAATGAGTTTGGTCTAATCGGGTCCTGCTGGAGGACCTCTTGGAGGCCTCTTGGGCCGTCTTGGAGGCCTCTTGGGGGCCTCTTGGGCCGTCTTGGGCCATCTTGAGGCCATCTTAGGCAGTTTTTGGTGCATCTTGGGCCGTCTTGGAGGCATCTTGGGGCCATCCGAGCCGTCTTGGACGCCATCTTGGCAGTCTTGGAGGCCTGTTGAGGCCCTCTTGGGGTCTCTTGGGCCGTCATGGGGCCATCTTGGATGCCTCGTGGGTGATCTTGGAGCGATCTTGGGGGCCTCTTGGGCCGTCTTGAGCCGTCGGAGTGCCAAGAAGAAACAGATGCCCAACTCCTTCAAACATCAAAGGAACATCTATAACTCTGGCCTCTTCGGGCCCTCCTGGAGGACCTCTTGGAGGCCTTCTGGGCAGTCTTGGGCAGTCTTGGAGGTTTCTTGGGCGTATTTGAAGGTATCTTGAAGGTATCTTGGGCCGTCTTGGAAGCCATCTTCGACCATCTCGGGCCATTTCGGGCCATCTGAGGCGTCTTGGAGGCTATGTTTGGCCATCTTGGAGCGGGACAGGCATTGACATGTGCAGTTTTCGGTCGGGAGTTCTTTTGGAAAAGAACAAAAAACAAGACCGAACGGGTTCAGCACGCCAGGCACCCCTGTGATGAATCAACAGTGGGCGGCGGATCGAAGACGCCTACGGCGAATCACCGCCGCCCATTGCCTTCCGGAAGCGCCTATGTGGCCGAAAGTTGAGGCCATACCTGCCAAGCTATCGGACCATGTGTTCCCCGAATCGGTTTGGAAAGCCTTCGGGGAACACGTGGGCATCTTGAAGGTCATCTTGGCCGTCTGGAGGCCATTTTGACCCTTTCGGGCCTTCTTGGAGGACGTCTTGGAGGGCGCTTGCGCCGTCTGGGAGGCCATCTTGAGCGTCTTGGAGGCCTCTTGGGCCGTCTTGGGGGCTTCTTGGGGCCATCTTGGGCCTCTTGGGCGATCTTTGGGGGCACTTGGGCCGTCTCGGGCCGTCGGAAGGCAGAAACATAGCAAATGCCACAACCCTTCACAATTTGTCCTTTTCGGGCTTTCCTGGAGGCCCTCTTCGAGGCCTCTTGGGCCGTCTTGGGCCATCTTAGGGCCAGCTTCGGCCGTCTTGGTGGGCTCCTGGTCCGTCTGACGCCGTCGGATGCCGTTTGGGGGGCCTTTCTGGGCCGACTTGGGGCCCTCTTGGAATGCTCCATGGCCGTCTTGGAGGCCATTTTGGGCGTCTCAAAGGCCTCCTGGGCAGTCTTGGGGGCCTCTTGGGGCCGTCTTTGGGCCCTCTTGGGCCGTTCTGGGGCCATCTTGGAGGCCTCTTGGGCGATCTTTGGGCGATCTTTGGCGACTCTTGGGCCGTCTCGGGCCGTCGGAAGGCCGAAAACAAGCAAATGTCAAAATCCTTAAAACACCTCAGGAACATGAATGTCGTTGGCCTTTTCTCTGGCCTTCCTGGAGGCCCTCTTGGAGGCCTTTTGGGCCGTCTTGGGCCAGCTTCGAGCCATCTTCGGCCATCTTGGTGGATTCCTGGCCCGTCTGAAGCTGTCGGGAGCTGTCTCGGGGGCCTCTCTGAACCGGCTTGGGGCCTTCTTGGGGCGCTTCGGGGCCGTCTTGGAGGCCATCTTGGGCGTCTTGGAGGCCATCTTGGCCCGTCGTGGGGCCCTCTTGGTGCAGTCTTGGGGGCCTCTTGGGCCGTCATTGGGCCATCTTGGAGGCCACGTGGACGATCTTGGGGCGATCTTGGAGGCCTCTTGGGCCGTCTTGAGCCGTCGGAAGGCCGAAAAGAAGCAAATGCCAAAATCTTTCTAAACCCTGAGGAACATCTATTATTTTGGCCTCTTTGGGCCATCCTTGAGGACCTCTTGGAGGCCTCTTGGGTCGTCTTGGGCCGTCTTGGAGGCTTCTTGGGCGAACTTGGAGGTATCTTGGACTCTTTTGGGCCGTCTTGGAGGCAGTCTTGGACCATCTTGGGCGGACTTGGAGGCCATCTTGGACCATCTTGGAGGCCATCTTGGGCCAACGTGGCCATCTTCGGCCATCTTGAGCAAAACATTTGGGAATTGAGCTCCTTGAGAGCCTTTCCGGGTGGCCGGCGGAACGCGCCAGAGCCCAAGGGGGAGGTTTTTGTTGGGGGGGTGAAAGAACCAATACCAAAACCGATAGGATCCAGCACGCCAGGCACCTCTGTGATAAGGCACAAGGGGGCGGCGGATCGAAGACGCCTACGGCGAATCACCGCCGCCCACTGCCTTTTTGGAAGCGCCTATCTGGCCGAACGTTGAGGCCAGACCTGCCAAGCTATCGGACCATGTCTTCTCCGAATCGGTTTGGAAAGCCTTCGGGGAACACGTGGGCATCTTGAAGGTCATCTTGGCCGTCTGGAGGCCATTTTGACCCTTTCAGGCCTTCTTGGAGGACGCTGGAGGGCTCTTGGGCCGTCTGGGAGGCCATCTTGAGCGTCTTGGAGGCCTCTTGGGCCGTCTTGGGGGCCTCTTGGGGCCGTGTCCTGGGCCTCCTGGGCGATCTTTGGGGGCACTTGGGCCGCCTCGGGCCGTCGGAAGGCAGAAACATAGCAAATGCCACAACCCTTCACAATTTGTCCTTTTCGGGCTTTCCTGGAGGCCCTCTTCGAGGCCTCTTGGGCCGTCTTGGGCCATCTTAGGGCCAGCTTCGGCCGTCTTGGTGGGCTCCTGGTCCGTCTGACGCCGTCGGATGCCGTTTGGGGGGCCTTTCTGGGCCGACTTGGGGCCCTCTTGGAATGCTCCATGGCCGTCTTGGAGGCCATTTTGGGCGTCTCAAAGGCCTCCTGTGCCGTCGTGGGGGCCTCTTGGGGCCGTCTTGGGGCCCTCTTGGGCCGTTCTGGGGCCATCTTGGAGGCCTCTTGGGCGAATTTTCGGCGATCTTTGGCGACTCTTGGGCCGTCTCGGGCCGTCAGAAGGCCGAAAGAAGCAAATGTCAAAATCCGCCAAACGCCTTAGGAAAATCAATGCGTTTGGCCTCTTCTGGCCTTCCTGGAGGTCCTCTTGGGGGCCTCTTGGGCCGTCTTGGGCCAGCTTCGAGCCAACTTCGGCCATCATGGTGGGTTCTTGCCACGTCTCACGCTGCCGGGAGCCGTCTTGGGGGCCTTTCTGGGCCGGCTTGGGGCCCTCTTGGGGCGCTTCGGGGCCGTCTTGGAGGCCATCTTGGGCGTCTTGGAGGCCATATTGTGCGTGTTGAAGGCCTCTTGGGCCGTCTTGGGGCCCTCTTGGGGCCGTCTTGGAGGCCACTTGGGCCGTCATGGGGCCCTCTTGGGGGCCTCTTGGGCGATCTTGGGGGCCTCTTGGCTTGTCTTGAGCCGTCGGAAGGCCGAGAAGAAGCAAATTCCAAACATTGTCGAAAACCCAATGATTTGGGCCTCTTCGGGCCCTCCTGGAGGACCTCTTGGAGGCCTCTTCGGGGCCATCTTGGGCCATCTTGGGCCAGCTTGAGGCCGTCTTATGCCGTCTTGGGTGCATCTTTTGCCGTCTGGGAGGCATCTTGGAGCCTTCTTCGCCGTCTTGGAGGCCATCTCGGCCGTCTTGGATGCATCTTAGAGACCATCTTGGGCCGTCTTGGAGCCGTCTGGAGCAGGGAAAACCTTTGCAACCAGGTTTTGAGATCCTTCCCGGGACCCCGGCGGGACGCGCCGGAGACCCAGGGGGAGTTCTTTTGGAAAAAGAACCAAAACCAAAACCGAGAGGATTTGGCACGCCAGGCACCCCTGCGATGAATCGACAGAGGGCGCCGGATCTAACTGCCTTCGGCGCATCCCGCCACCGTGCCTGGGTTATGGCTTCTCGGGGGCCTCTTGGAGCTAGTTTTGAAAGCTAATTTGGCCCGTTTTGGGACCTGTCGGGGCGTCTTGGGGGCCTCTGGGAAGCCTCTTGGAGCCATTTGGGGGCCTGTTGGGGACTCCTGGGTGGATCTTGGGGCGGAAGGCTCGAGCTCCCCTTTTTGGGCCCC